CCCATTTTCGCTGGATTGATCTGTTGTTTTGACGAACGATACGAGAAAAATTCAGGAAATGCAGAGTTTTTGCATAGCTATGTTTCACTATTATTTTCACTCTGTGCATGATTCATTTTTATTTTAAACGCTTTCTATGTATCTCTACTATCTTAAACCAAATTTATGTTACGGTTTTATTTTACGAAAAATTGGGGGGGTCAAGATTATTTTAACCGATTCATATGCACCAATATTTCAAGAAAATATCGCATTGGATTTGATCGTCTGTAACAAATCGCAAAAAGTAGGTAAAGCAATAATTGGGAATGTAAACAGAGATATTATTTGTGGTTATAATTACAAATGAACTGAATTTTTGCAGGGAATATTTCATAATAATATTTTAAATGCAATTTCAATCAATATTAACTCACTTCTGAAGCTTGTTACTCACTATCTGATATAATAATAAATTGTTCCAATCGAACATTCAATCTAGACGAATTGTTTCACTCAAAAACAAAAACATTGAAACTGTTTCTTTTATAAATAATCGTATCGGTAATATTGATTGAATATTTCGTCCTAGATTTTGTCAACACGTATCACCCATCACAAAAATTTGACAAAATAGCAGAGGAAATAATAATCATTGATCAATAATCAATCATTCTGTTTCCTCCTGACAGTTTGACTGCGAATCAAGTAAACAGCGATTAGCGAAAACGATTTTTACTCGACCGCAATTTTTAATTTTACTTTGTTTACATTGCTCTCTGTATTGGCAAGCACTAATCAACGTTTTTGATACGAAAAAAAGTGAATGAATCTTAATGCACGATTTGTGTTATGACACCGGACTCATTCAACTCGTTGGTTTTTGTTTGTAAAAGTACTGATAAGACCATATGTCCACTGATATGATATCTCTGATGCGTTACAGAATAATCGGCGACACAAGTTGAAGGCAAACGTAAATCTAGAATCAGTCTGTGTTTTCCTATTGTGCACGACGCTTACCATACGAGGAATGTTTTCTTGAATTCACGTAAAAAAGTAATGAGGATAAGGCTATAATTTGTTTTTAATTGAAGATTTAATTGTGTATTGCCTTCTAAAAAAATTTGTGTCGAATTATTTTCATGCTAATCAATGATGAACTATAAATAGTCATTCCGACTATCAAAGTGTATCAATAATTGTACCGTTCTATAAAAAATAGTGAGGAATTTGTTAAAATTTAAAATGGAATCGACACAGCGCAAACTGCCACCAAATCCTCATGAGAATGCAAATTTTTTATCAAAACTATTCATGACATGGACTTTGGCTTTTTTCAAGAAAAGCTATGAAAAAATACTCAGTTTTGATAATGTATTTCAACCGTTGATCTGTGATAAATCGGAAATACTGGGCAATCGTTTGGAAGAGTGAGTTTTTCAATTAAATTTTCTACCTCATTAAAAAAAAGTCACAACGTTTTTTTTCTTCAACGACAAATTGCAAAATGTGAGTCATTATGAGTTTCATTATAATTAGCTTCGCAAAAAAATGAACAACATTCAAATCACCCGTATTGGGAAATACCCACGGTAGTCGTCTATCTAGCGGAAGCTTATCGTCATCCAAGTTACATTAAAGCAAATATTTTTCGCATCATAAATCATTTGATTGTTTTGCTGTTGTCAAATGATTTACAAATCAATTGAAATAAAAAATGTTGATTATATTCATGTGCCTTGAAACATTTCCCTGACTCAATGACTTTTTTCTCACAAAAAAATGTGAAACAATGACTTTTGATTATTTCGTGACAAAATTTGAAACATCACTATTTCATCAGCTCATTGATAAGTAAAAGTGATGGATTGCTCAATTCTTTTTTTTCTGTTGTGTCTATAGAAATTGGAATAAACAAACATCGACGACGGAGCAGCGTTCATTGTTATCAGTGATTTTTACCACGTTTTGGAAGGATTATGCAATTTTGAGTGTATTGTGTTTTATCAACGATATTTTACTTCGTTTGGGCCAACCATTTATGCTTGGATATTTCTTGCGGTATTTTCGCAACGACACAAACGTAACGTATGACGAAGCATTGCTTTATGCGATTGGGATTATGATACTGAACTTTTTGAATGCGCTATGCTCTAATCATATTTTATTGCTTTCGTATCACAATGGGATGAAAGTGCGAGTAGCTGTTTGCAGTCTTATTTACAGAAAGGTATAATAAATCGATTTGAAAAAGCACTTCAACTATTGATATTTGTTCATTTCAAAGTCTCTGCGGCTATCGCAAACGGCTCTTGGGGAAACTTCACCCGGCAAAGTGGTGAATTTATTGTCAAATGATGTGAATCGATTCGATTGGGCATCATTTTTCTTCAATTCTCTATGGATTTCACCTTTACTCACATTCATTGTCGGCTGTCTATTGTGGAAAGAGGCTCGATACGCTGGACTGGTGGGCATTTCCGTCGTCTTCATGATTGTACCGATTTTGAGTAAGAATTCGAATTGAAATAACATTTCACAAATTAACTCAACATATTGCCTGAACTTCAAAATTTTTAAGGTTACGCTGGTAAACTAACATCAGAATACCGTCTCCAAACTGCATTGAGAACCGATGAACGAGTACGTTTCATGGACGAAATAATAAGCGGTGTGCAAGTGATCAAAATATATGCATGGGAAAAACCGTTTGCAAAACTCATCACTTTCGCTCGACAAATGGAAATGAAAATTATACGCAAAACATCGTATATCCGAGCGTTTCACATGACCTTTATGTTGTTCACTACACGTATGGCCCTGTTCAGTTCGATGCTGACCATTGCATTAGTCTATGGTCCCAAAGAAATCACGGCCGCCAAAGTGTATGTCATTTCTTCTTATTTTGGAATTGTTGCACACATGATGTCGCAACGATTCTCCCGTAGTGTTGCCGAATGCGCAGAGGTGCTGGTTGCGTTGAGGCGTTTAGAAAAATTCTTAAGCTTGGACGAGAAGAAAACTTTCATTGAGAATGGTGATGAATATGAAAATGGATACGGCAACGGAATAAACGGAATCGTAAATGGTTCATTTCCACACGAAAGCCAGGTGAACTAGAATTTGGAAAAGAAATTTCATTATGTAAATGAAGGCTAATTTCAACTAATCTAACATATTTAGGATCCGATAGAATCGAGTGTGGTTAAAAACTCAAATGTTGCGCTCTCAATGAAAAATATGTCAGCTCGCTGGGTGATGCCAAGTAATGAGATTTATTCACCGAAGAAAAACTCCGTTTACAGTGGGAAAAATTTGCATTCGAATGAAATCATTGAAAAAGGGAACAAGAACGTTCACGACACTGTGCCTGATTTACACGTAACAATAAAGCTATCACCTACTTTGGAAAATTTGAATATTGATTTCCCGAAAGGCAAATTGACTGGTGTGATCGGTCCGGTTGGTGCGGGAAAGTCTTCGCTCTTACAAGCGATTTTACGAGAATTGCCTTTGGAATCAGGCACCATCAACATAAACGGATCGATTTCTTACGCATGTCAAGAGCCATGGGTGTTTGCAGCATCAGTGAGACAGAATATTTTGTTCGGCGAGGAATATAATCGCGAACGATATAATACGGTAGTTCGCACGTGTGCGCTGGAAAAAGATTTTGAGCAATTCGAAAACGGAGATCGAACAATCGTTGGTGAACGTGGAGCGAGTCTTAGTGGTGGTCAAAAAGCGCGTATAAAGTGAGAATGATTCAAACAGACTCTGTTTGAGACCAATCCAAATTTAATTTTATTTGCTCTTTCAGCCTGGCACGCGCCTGTTACCGAAATGCCGACATTTATTTGTTGGACGATCCGTTGAGTGCAGTCGATGCTCACGTTGGAACTCACATATTCAATAAGTGTATAGGACCGGCAAGCAGTCTATCGAGACAGAGATCAACTCGAATTTTGGTGACACATCAAGTGCATTTTCTAAAGGCAGCTAATTGGCTCATCGTTTTGAAGAATGTAAGAACATGTTACTTAGTAGATCCCATTCAAGTTATCTGAATTGAACCCCATTATCCAATAGGGAAGAATCGAAGCGCAAGGAACACCTGCAGAGCTAGCACGAAGTGGTGTCGATTTTGTCGAGCTAGTGGGAACGGTTGAAACGCCAGAAGTAAGAGATAATAGCGAAATGTTCAAGCGACAAAAATCTCAAACACTTTCCATACGATCTACATCGATGGAATCACTCAACAGTTTTATAGAGTACAAAGAAAATGAACAAGACAAAAATGACGAAGGTGCACATGCTGAACAAAGTTCAAAGGGAAAAGTGAAAGGATCAGTTTTTATCAATTATTTTACTGCGGGTGCTAATTGGTTCATTCTGCTGTTTTTATGCACATCCTTTTTGTTCGTTCAGCTTTTGGGGAGTGCTGCCGATTATTTTGTATCTATTTGGTACGTATTTGTTCGAGTATTCTACTCGATACTATTAATTCATTAGAAAATTCCAAAGAAATGACTCAAAATCACATTTTCAGGACAAAACAAGAAGAAGCTCGCACATTTCGAACAGCAAATCAAAATAATGACACTGAATCAACACCATCCTATGATTATCCTTCGTTCACATTGACCACCGAATTATGTATTTATATACATGCAACGTTGGTGGTGTCTGTTTTCATAATTGGCATTTCTAGGTATATCAGCGATAACATAAACTTGTTTCCCTTCATCAACTGCTTTCTTCTGGATTTTAGATCAATTGGTTTTTATACGATGTGCCTGCGTTGCTCTCAAAATATTCACAATGCAATGTTCAAGGGAATAATTTCAACGTCTATGCGTTTCTTCGATACAAATCCATCGGGTCGCATTCTCAACAGATTTTCAAGAGATATTGGGTAAAATGATTAATCTTATTTGATTAAATTAGACCATTTGTTGAATATGTGGCATTTTCAGATCTGTTGATGAATTTCTGCCAAAAGCAATGCTTGACACCATTCAAAGTATTCTCTCCATGGTTGGTTCTATTACATTGGCGGCCTCTGTAAATGCGTATTTTTTGATTCCAGTGTTTATCTTGAGTATAATCTTCTATTTGATTAAGAAAATCTACCTAAAAACGTCTAAGAATGTGAAACGACTGGAAGGAATTGGTATGTTGCCTTCAATTATCTTTTTACTAAACACTTGCATTACTGACCTATACCCTGTTGATTTCTTTCACAGCAAAATCGCCGGCATTCACGCATTTGTCGGCAACTTTAAGTGGATTGTCAACAGTTCGTGCATATAAAGTTGAAAAAATATTGGCAAAAGAATTCGACAATCATCAAGACATGCATTCAGCCTGTTGGTACATGGCAATATCAACAAGTGCAGTGTTTGGGTTTAGTTTGGATATTTTATGCCTGATATTCACCGCTTCAATCATTTTTTACTACATGCTCATCGATACGTCAGTTTCGGGTGAAAAAATCGGATTAGCAGTAACGCAAGCAATCGGTTTAACCGGAATGGTTCAATGGGGTAAGCTGTATGATTTAACATTTTTCGTACGATATTCATCATTTTTGCCATAATTCAAGGCGTTCGTCAAAGTGCTGAAGTGAGCAATCAAATGATGTCAGTCGAGCGATTGCTCGAATATCGAGATCTGGAACCGGAGAAACAACCAAAAAAAGCGGCTCTCATCGCAAAGTCTTGGCCATCGAAAGGAAGCATTGAATTCCGAAATGTATTTTACAGATATTCGGCTGAAGCCGAACCAGTTTTACGAGGATTGTCATTCGTCATAAATCCGATGGAGAAAATTGGTATCGTTGGTAGAACGGGTGCGGGCAAAAGTTCATTGATAGGTTCTTTATTTCGTTTGGCGTGCATCGAAGGACAAATTCAGATTGATGGAGTTGACACAGCCAACATTCAATTGAGTGACTTAAGAAAGCAAATTGCCATCATTCCGCAGGATCCAGTTCTATTTTCGGGTACATTGAGAAGGTATGAATTGATATTCTTACTACTCTGTTTGATGCAACAAATGTAATTTAATGCAATGCAAATGAAATTGAACAGGAATCTGGATCCATTTGAGGAATATTCTGATGATGATATCTGGAGCGCATTGGAAAGTGTTGAGCTGAAAAGTTCTGTTTCAGAAAATTTGGGCTTACAATCGACCGTTCTACCGCATGGTGCCAATTATTCAGTGGGTCAACGTCAACTCTTGTGTTTGGCGCGAGCGATTTTGAGAAAGAATCGAATTCTCGTTTTGGATGAGGCAACGGCCAATGTCGATCCACAGTATGTCAATGCAATAGCAAAAGCTTACTTAAAAAATAGTTTCTAATTTATTTTTCACTTTTTCTGCAGAACGGATCTGTTAATTCAACGAACGATACGAGAGAAATTCACGGAATGCACAGTTCTAACTGTCGCTCATCGAATACACACAATCATTGACTCGGATCGTGTTTTGATAATGGCTTCCGGAAAAGCCGTTGAATTTGATGAGCCGCACAATTTGTTACAAAATCAAAACGGCATTTTTTATGGAATGGTTAAAGCGCTGGGACCCAAAGAATTTGATCGTCTCTCACAAGCTGCATTGGAAAAATTTAACGTGGAACATTGTGACAACATCCATTCAACATCATTATGAAATAGCAAATAATTCCACATAAAAAGATTGTGTCGTGATAAAATATGTTCATAAACGGGCGATTTAAACGTCCAGTATACGTTTATGAATTCTTAGTACTTATCAAATTCCGATTGATTTAGTAAGATTAGTGAACGCATTAAAACTGATAGACTGTGATTTATTTTGTGTTTCAATGTCAACTAACCGCTTGAAGTGTAAATAATGATTTAGTGTTATATAACAGTTAGATTATAAAAAAAAATACTTGAATAAGTAAAGATAAATGTGGAAAAGAATATTTTCCTTCATGTGCAAATAGTGCCAATTTAGAAAAAACTATCAGTGTTTATAAACAATAATAATAAAAAAATGTAGTTGGCTTTTGTCAAATCACTTGACTCAAGTGATGATTTTATTTCGAAATTCGCTCCAGTTTTAGTTGTGGTATCTTCCACAAGTCTACGCTGTGAATGTTCATGAACTGAGTGTTTTTGACATTTATTCTGAAAAGAAGTTTTGGCATTGCGGAAGAAACATGTGATTAATAAAAATGTAAACAAAAACGCAGCTGAATTTAACACATTGTACTTATTCTGACAATAATTTACTATACTCCATTGAAATTCGGTTCAAGCTATCAATAATTACTAATATAATAATAGAAAATTTTAAAATTGAGTGAAAAATAAAATAAACGGACGTTTTGAACTAAAAACAGATACAATGTTGTATTACACTACAATTTTTGTTTCGTGTGAAATTAATTGACTGAATCAATTTTACAAATGTTAAACCATACATTGTAATATTCGGTGAGTGCCACTGAAAAAATATTCATACTTATTTAGTGCGTGAGACGCATGGTCACTCATTTAGTGAGTGAGAAGCATGCGGATGAGATGAAGCAAAGCGAAAGGGAAGCGCGCAACTAGAACATAGAGTCAATGTGCACTACGAGTTTGTGTATGTGTCCGTATTCTAACGACGGAATGACGAAATGTATGCGCGCTATATCGTTCGTTCGTATGGAGTTGCCCGCTTCTCTTTCGCTTTGCTTCGTCTCATCCGCGTCCGTCTCACTCACTAAATGAGTGATCATGCGTCTCACGCACTAAATAAGTATGAATATTTTTTGAGTGGCACCCACCGAATATTACAATGTATGTGTTAAACAAAGTTTCGCAGTTATGAGTGTAAATACACGGTCAAAAATGATGGATTTTATACCGGCAAATCAATCTAGAATTTAATCAATTCATTCAAATGAAACCAGTTTGTTACAAAGCAGAATTAATTCATTTGTTCATAAAAACTTGTATATTTCAATAATTAAACCTATAAATAGACTGCGATAGCACGTGTTCTTTCTTGCTTTCTATATATACACGCATTTTAATTTAGGCGCTCGGTGCTCTTATTGTACATACAAACACGTTATACAACATGTATTCATGTATACTACAAACGTATATTATACGACTCTGTTGTGAAATGCCGGCATGTGAATGACAAACACATCGTTGATTTGTTATGTCAACAAAACCACTTCGGAGAACAACATCGTATTTGATTGTGTACGAATCATTATCAGTTAAAATAATGATGTGTGTGTGTTCAATACTTTGTTTTGCGAATACAGTTCGAATGGAATAGAGAATACAATAGAGTTTTTAGTTCATGATTTGCTATTGCGTTAGTCGAATGTGTTCAAGAAATGGCGTAGTCCAATTTCAAAGACTAAAACGATAATAAAACGTTTAGAAAACTAATTTGTAGATATTTGTTGGAAAATAATATCAAAACAATTGTTTTTTTAGAGTGAAAAACCAATTCAACAAGATTGTTGAAAGTATTTTTGATTAAAATCTCCCAATTTTTTAAAATAAAAAGTGTCCAACCATCGGTGTACAAAGTGAATTTGTATAAAAATGGAATCAACACAGTACAAACTCCCACCGAATCCATGTGATAGTGCAAATTGCTTATCCAAAATACTTTTCGCTTGGACTGTGCCATTTTTTAAAAAAAATGCCAAAGTTCTGAAACTAGACGATATGTTCCAACCGATGACATGTGACAAGTCTGAAACACTCGGGAATCGTTTAGAAACGTAAGTGTTTTTTCTCTCTATCTATCTCAATATCCACGAATCGACATGTAAAGTAAATTTTATTGGGCATTTATCCCGTTTCTAGTGGAACTAATAACGCTAATTATTGTGCTGTGTTTGTGTCTCCATCGTGATTCAAACGCTCTAAAACTCAATTTAATTGATAATATTTATCCATTGTAGTTGTTTCCGAGCGTAAATCACTATAAAAACATAATGATGATCCAATGAATGGTAATTTTTTCTCACAATCACCGATAAACCGAATTTATTGGTCATTTTCAAAAAAAAAAAATCCATAGAAATGGTAAATGGAAATCGGTTTTTCACGGAGATCCAGGAAAAGTCAATTTGTGATATTCAAAATTTAAATGCATTTCATTCATGGTTTTGGTCATCTTACTCGTCTGTATTGGGCAGGCGTGAAATTATGTGAACAAAACTATTTCGAGAGCTTCATAGATAATAAACTTAGACGAACATCTAATTTCGAAAAATTGAGACAAATATTTACTGCCAAAAAGATCCGACCTAAATGAATATAATCGTCCGATTCGAAATTTGTATGAAAAAATGACACTTCAACAAAACAATGCAAACATACATGATAAATAGACGCATCTTATAGATAAGTGAAGTTGTAAATAAAATTAGTTGCTTGTTTTTTATCTGATTTCCACAGTAACTGGGTACGAAGCACATCAAAGGCTGACGAGCGGAACTCTTTGTTGTCAGTCATTTTATACACATTCTGGAGAGACTATGCATTTTTGAGTGTTTGTTGCTTTTTCAACGATATCGTTTTTCGATTGGGGCAACCGTTCCTCCTTGGCTACTTATTGAAATACTTCCGGTAAGTGTAAACCTCTTAAAATAGATAATGAAAAGTACTCAAGGTCAACTTGTTTTTGCAGCAAAGACACACAAATAGCATATCATGATGCCGTCCTTTATGCCACTGGAATTGTGGTGATGAATGCTTTGAACGCTCTGCTCATCAATCATATTCATTATGTCTCCTATCATAATGGGATGAAAGTTCGAGTGTCCGTTTGCAGTCTCATTTACAGAAAGGTAATTTTATCAAATCATTCGATATCAAATTGTTACAAAGAAAACTTTAAACGATCGATTTTAATATCTAATAAATGCTTTTTTCCTGTTCAAACAGTCACTTCGGCTGTCACAAACGGCTCTTGGAGATACATCACCTGGGAAAGTAGTGAATCTACTTTCGAACGATGTGAATCGCTTCGAATGGGCAACATTTTTTATGAATGCTTTGTGGACAGCGCCATTGCTCACATTGCTCGTTGGATGTCTGATGTGGAACGAAATTAGATGGACTGGATTGGTCGGCATTTTGGTTGTTTTCTGTGTGGTTCCTATGCTGAGTAAGTTCAAGAAATGAATAAAATCATAATTAAAAAATAATTTGAAAAAAGTTTGATAATAGCTTAATGATAATTTAACTGAACCAAGTAGGTTATGCTGGCAAACTAACATCGAAATACCGCCTTCAAACTGCATCAAGAACGGACGAACGCATTCGATTCATGGATGAAATAATAAGCGGTGTGCAAGTGATAAAGATGTACGCATGGGAAAAACCGTTTGCCAAACTCATCACATACACTCGAAGTTTGGAGTTGAAAATGGTTCGCAAAACATCATACATTCGTGCGTTCCATATGACCTCGATGTTGTTCACCACGAGAATGGCGCTTTTCTGCACAATGATGATCATTATTTTGGTTCATGGTCCACAGGAAATTACGTCGGCCAGGATATTTGTAATAACGTCGTACTTTAACATTGTGTCCCATTTGATGTCGCAACGATTTTCTCGAGGTATTGCTGAAACTGCAGAAGTTTTGGTCGCATTGAAACGTTTGGAGAAATTCTTGTACTTAGAAGAAAAACAAACGAACTTTGGTGACGATAAACTTGAAAATGGCCTTGCAAATGGTTTAAAGAAGGGAAAAGTCAAGATGAGCGACTCAATCACTTCGAATGTATCGGTTTCAATGAAAAATGTGTCGGCTTGCTGGACGATACCCGCTAATGCATATTTATCTAGTGGAAAATTCAATCAAAATGGAAAAGCTAAAGATAACCGTACAACTATGGACGAAATGCAAGTGGATGAATGCTTATCACATTTGAATGTTGATTTCCCAAAAGGAATGTTGATTGGAATAATCGGACCAGTTGGATCCGGGAAATCGTCGCTGCTACAGGCCATTTTACGAGAGTTGCCGTTGAAAACGGGCTCGATTAGCGTAAACGGATCAATTTCCTATGCAAGTCAAGAGCCATGGGTGTTTGCAGCATCGGTGAGACAAAACATATTGTTTGGCCAAAAGTATGACCAAGAGCGCTATAACAAAGTGGTACGAATTTGTGCGCTGGAAAAAGATTTTGAGCAATTCGAGAACGGAGATCGAACTATCGTTGGTGAACGTGGAGCAAGTCTCAGTGGTGGTCAAAAAGCGCGTATCAAGTAAGAATGATTTCAACAGGTTCTGTTACGATTCCAAATTTAATATTAAAAATATAAAATAATAATTATTGTTTTTCTTCAGCTTGGCGCGAGCTTGTTATCGCAACTCTGATATTTACCTGTTTGACGACCCATTGAGTGCAGTCGATACTCACGTTGGAACTCACATATTCAATAAGTGCATAGGACCGGCAAGCAGTCTATCGAGACAGAGATCAACTCGAATTTTGGTGACACATCAAGTGCATTTTCTTAAAGAGGCTGATTGGCTTATCGTACTAAAGGATGTATGTATTAGCATTTGTCTTTAAACATACGATTTTTTTTTTCGAAAAGATGAAACATTTTCCTTTTCAAAGATTGAATAATTTCTTGAACCAATTCATTGAAATATATTTCTTTCGGAGAATCATTGATTTTCAATTCATTCAAATCGCACTTATTTTCAATAGGGAAGGATCGAAATCCAAGGAACACCGAGTGAATTATACAAAAGTGATGTTGATTTCATTGAACTTGTTGGCATGACTGAAACACCAGATGTCACCGAAATATTCCCTGTTTTTAGTCGGCAATGCTCCACAATTTCAACGCAATCTGAATCATCAATCGAATCGATGAAGAGTGTTATCGGTCGGTCTGTGGCCGCAGAACAAAAACAGAAAGAGACGAAAGATGAAGGAGTACCAATGGAGGCGATTTCGAAGGCAAAGGGATCGCTTTCATGGAATTATTTTAGTAGTGGTGCCCATTGGTCGGTTCTACTCATGCTGCTATTTTCCTTCGTGTTTGTTCAATGCTTGGCCAGTGCAACAGACTATTTCGTTTCCATATGGTATCGAATTTCTGATGAAATTAAGTATTAGATGAATAATTAAGATTGAATAATTCTAGATATATCGTCATTTTAGGACCAAACAAGAAGAAATACGCACACATGTGTCACCTAATGATACTTCAATTACGTTAACTACGAATGAATGCATTTCCATTCAAGGGACATTAGTTGCTGCACTTCTCATATTTGGGATATCAAGGTAATTTGCACTTCGATCGTTTTAATCGATTGAAACCATTCATCTTTATCAATTGTACTTTCGTTTATCCACAGGTCCATCGGTTTCTATTCAATTTGCGTCCGAATTTCTCAAAATATCCACAATGCAATGTTCAAAGGCATCATTTCAACAAAAATGCGCTTCTTCGATACAAACCCATCGGGCCGAATACTTAATCGATTTTCAAAGGATATCGGGTGCGTACGTTTTTCATCGTTGATCATTTCAAATAATTATGATAACATCTAATTTATTTATTTTCAGTGCGGTTGATGAAATCCTTCCCAAGAATATACTCGATGCAACACAGAATATATTGAGCATGTTCGGTTCGATAGTGATAGCCTTGGTAGTGAACCCATATTTTTTGATTCCATTGTTGGTTTTGAGCATATTTTTCGTTTTCATTCGAAGCATTTACTTGAAAACGTCGAGAAAGGTGAAGAGATTGGAGGGAATAGGTGGGTAGTAAACGGTTTCGAAAATAAGTGATCTTTTTGAATAATCATCACATTTTAACTATTACTAATCAATCATACATTTACAGCGAAATCGCCAGCATACACTCACTTATCGGCCACTCTAAGTGGTTTGTCAACGGTTCGTGCATACAAGGCTGAAGAAATTCTAAAGAAAGAATTCGATAATCATCAAGACACGCATTCATCCTGTTGGTTTATAATTATATCGACAACTTCCGTGTTTGGATTCTGTCTCGATTTCATGTGTTTGCTGTTTATCGCTTCAATTGTGTACTACTACGTATTATTTGATACGGGAGTATCTGGCGAAAAAATTGGGTTGGCTATATCTCAAGCGATTAGTTTAACGGGACTTGTTCCATGGGGTGTTCGTCAAAGTGCTGAAATCTCCAATCAAATGACAGCAGTTGAACGTGTACTCGAATATCGCGATTTGGAACCGGAAAAACAGCCAAAGAAACTAGTCATTCTTGTAGAAGGTTGGCCATCGAAAGGATGCATCGAATTTAGAAATGTCTTCTACCGATATTTTGCTGAAGCCGAACCAGTTTTACGAGGATTGTCATTCGTCATCAATCCAATGGAGAAAATTGGTATCGTTGGTAGAACGGGTGCGGGCAAAAGTTCATTGATAGGTTCTTTATTCCGTTTGGCGTGCATCGAAGGACAAATTCAGATTGATGGAGTTGACACAGCCAACATTCAATTGAGTGACTTGAGAAAGCAAATTGCCATCATTCCGCAGGATCCAGTTCTATTTTCGGGCACATTGAGAAGGTATGAATTGATATTTTTACTACTTATTTGATGTATCCATGTGATCTAACTAATCCAATTTAAATAATATTGAACAGGAATCTGGATCCATTTGAAGATTATTCTGATGATGATATCTGGAGCGCATTGGAAAGTGTTGAGCTGAAAAGTGCTATTTCAGAAACGTTGGGCTTACAATCGACCGTTTTACCGCATGGTGCCAATTATTCAGTGGGTCAACGTCAACTTTTGTGTTTGGCGCGAGC